CAGAGAAACTTAATCTGTTAGAATAAAAGTTTGGTTTAACAGAAATATATTACTATTTGTGTAGTAAAATGTACTTCTCAACATAATAATAAAATTCATTGAAAACTAACTGGAATATTTTAATTAACAATATATTTTGGTTTATAAAAATGTTTTGAGCTGATTGCATTTGAAAACGTTGATTAAATTGTTAAAGTTGTAAGAATTAATTTGATTAGCACTATTTTTTTTAATTGTGAATTAGCAGTAAATCATAAAACTGTAAAAATTACAGATATTGTAGGGCTCTATTATAGTTCAAAATGTTATAAACAAATAATTTGTTAACGTTTTATGAGTTGAAATGATTAGACATGCGTTTTGATGAGCGTGTGTTCTCATTGCGTTTGCTGTGTTTGTACAGCAGGATGGAGCCGCTGGGCTCTGGAGAGGTGCAGAGTGAAGATGATCAGTGTGTTGAGGTGGAGCTAGAGCCTCCTAACTGGCAGACGCTGGTGAGCAGAGACGTCCTGTCCACACTTACCCCTCAGGAAATCAAGAGACAGGAAGTCATCAACGGTGAGTGACAAGTCTGGTTTACTGTATGAGCAGTGGTGGGGAAGTGTCTCCCTAAAGTAATCACAATTTATTTTCAAATTTGTATTATTTCTCGTAAACTTAAGTGAAGCTACATGATATGGATGAACAATGAACACCAAATTGTCTTTTGGTTCTTTAATAAAAACTGAAAATGTATTCCCTTATTTATCCCAGGATAAAGTATTCTGTTTACTCCCAACACTGTATATTAGCATGCATTCAGTTTTGAGAAGCTTTGAGAAGCAGTGAACAAGTACAAACCATCCGGTGTAAGCACCTCTCTCCTCCATGCCATTGCTTTCACAGAGTTGTTCTACACAGAGAGAGCACACGTTCGAATGATGAAGGTTCTGGAAAATGTGTTTTACCAGCCGCTGATCAGAGAGGCCATCCTGCCTCCTGCAGACATCAAAAACATCTTCAGCAACCTTGAGGAGATCGTTCAGCTGCACGGTAAAACTTCACAACCCCCCTAAATCCTTGAACACCTCTAAAGTAAACATTTCTTCTAAATGCGCTCCTCTTCTCTTTTCACTTCAGTGTCTTTAACGGAACAAATGACTGCAGTCCGGAAGAAAAATGAGACTGCGCTCATTGACTCAATAGGAGATGATCTGCTTTCCTGGGTAAGAAGCAGCAAATATACATTAAAGAAAGCTTCCTGCTGGGGGAAAAAAAAACCATCTTATTGGCCTAAGGTAGTCAAGCTGTTTTTTGAACATGGTAGCTGGTTTGCTTCTGTTTCAAATTGGCTTGATCTACCAACTAAACCAAGTTGGACCAGTTACTGACCATAAATAACTAGAAACCATCTAAAATGAGCTACCATTAGATTTACCAGCAGGGATATTTCACACTCAGTTGTGTCTTTACCCACAGTTCAGTGAGGAAGAGGAGACAAAGATCAAGAGAGCTGCAGGCACGTACTGCAGTAATCAGCCTTTCGCCCTGGAACTCATTAAGAGCAAACAAAAGAAAGACCAGCGCTTCAACTCCTTCATACAGGTCAGTGGCTTAATAGCACAGTGGTTGCTTTCATAATTGTATGTAACTCTACTTGCATTCAAGCTTGTGTGTATGTTTCCTATCGGGCTGTTCCAGATGGTTAAGATAATAAATGTAATATTAACATGGAAGTGTTTATTTCAGGAGGCAGAGAGTAACCGTCATTGTCGCAGGCTGCAGCTGAAGGACATTATTCCTGTGGAGACTCAAAGACTCACAAAGTATCCCCTCCTGCTGGAGAACATCGCCAAATACACAGGTACAGCAGTCTTTTCTTTATTCAACATTCAAATCAACATTTTTTAATCGATTCTGAAAATTTCAAAACAGATTCTGAGTTTAGTTTTTTCCACGTATTCAGTTTTTGTCTTCCTAATGCTGAATGAACGCGTAATTTTTGCCACTTGGAATGCAGTATAAATTTGATACACGAAACTCACTTATTGACAAACAGCTTCTTTCAAATGCTCGAACACTTTGTGTGCGTCTGTTCTGAAGCGGCAGCTGTGCGTAACTCTGTATAAGCTGTTAAATGCACTTGTGACTTAAAACTGCTTTTATGATGCAAAATTAATGTAGACAGTCAGTTATGTCTTAAGGACAGGACATCTGATATGTTAAAATAGATCTGTCAGGATGCATTGATAATCATTTTATCATCACATGCCCTCCGAATCGTAATCGAATCGTGAGGTGCTAAGAGATACCCAACCCTTACCTTAAGAATAAATAATATTATAATTACTAATAATATTTTAAATATGAACATATCTGTAAATCTGAACACATCTTTTACCTTTGTGTTTTATGCTAGTTTTATTAGCAGAAACATATTATAATTAATATTTTAAATATTACAGTATCGCTGAATCTTACAATTATGCTCTACCATGTTGTCATTTTCAGTAGCAAAATGCATATTTGAAATATTAAAATATCTTCAAATCTGACAGATGTCATTTAAAATGGTGTCTCTGTCAATAGCAAAAATACATAATATTATAATTAATATTTTAAATGTTAAAATATCTGCAAAACTAATGAATGTCCTTGACAATGGCATGCTCTTTATATTAGCAAAATGCATAATATTCTAATTATTTTAATAGATCAAACAGTTGTGATTGGGTACAGTAAATATGTGACAGTGTAATGTTAGTGGGGTTATTCTGTAATCTGTGAATGATTGACTGGTGTGTTTTGCTTGCAGAGGATCCTGAGGAGAGAAGTAAAGTGAAACAGGCTGGCGAATGCTGTCGAAATATTCTCACTCACGTCAACCAGGAGGTGAAGGAGGCCGAGAACAAACAGGTGAGTCAATAACACAGTGGGACCTGACCTCAGATCAGTGCTAATCTAAAACATGCTGACCCTGATCCTTGATTCTCTGCTGCCCCCAGAGGTTGGAGGACTACCAGAGACGACTGGATCTGTCCTCATTGAAACAGAGTGAGAACCCCATGATCGCCGAGTTTAAGGTGAGACCTCGTATTTGAAATCCATTTAATCAACCTGTAACTGACCACTTATTATAAACAAAATGGATTTTACTCTCCATCTAGAACCTGGACTTGACTAAGAGGAAGATGGTGCATGAGGGACCGCTGTCTTGGAAGGTCAACAAAGATAAAACTATTGGTGGGTGTGGCTTGTCACAGAATTAGAAATGTCTTTGAGGGCTGACTTCATGGAAAACAGGATTTTATATCATTATTATATTGATTATTTGCATAAATATCTCTTAAAGATACATTAGCAAAACAGCCCGTTTAATTCTGAGGGGGGAAATGGTCATGAGAAACTAAATTATGACTGTTTGGTGCAAGAAACCACTACTATAAGTGGACAACAGGGCACAAATTGAATGCTGCAAAAGTGTGTAATATGGCATCTTTAATGCAATATAATTGTGAAATGTTTTCATATGATGTGTGTGTTTTCAGAGCTGTACACATTGCTGCTGGAGGATATATTGGTGCTACTTCAAAGGCAAGATGAGAAGCTAATCTTAAAATGCCACAGTAAGAATCTGGCGGGCACCGCTGAGACCAAACACATCTTCAGCCCCATCATCAAACTCAGCACCGTGATGGTGCGCTCCGTCGCCACCGGTAAGAACCACTGCTTTTAAAAACAGGCGAGACAGAATGGGTAAAAATTAGGCTTACCGCGATAGACAGTGCTGACGGTGATACTGGTGTTAAGCCGCAACACCGGTTATGTCACCGCGTCACCGACCCCCACCGTCATTTAGATTTTTTATTGTAATAAAAATCAATTCGTTCAGTAAAAGAACAGACACTAAAATTAAAAACTGAACGCGGCTGCTCAATGCAGCGTGCCGAACGACAGTTGCATCACAGATCAGATTTCGTTTCTCCAGTGAGGAGAGTGAGTCGAGCTGACTGACAAGAAGAGTGAGGTGAGGTGAGGTGAGACAGGCAAGACGATGGCGGATGATTTAGTTTCGAAACGAGATGCAAAAGTGCCTGTTTGGCAATATTTTGGATTTTGAAGAGCCTGTTGACTTTTGCCGTGTATCTAAGGTGATTTTGGAAGTTTTTTTAAACATTCGTTTCTTATTTAATTGGTTCCACATTGTTTGCTGATTTTTACTTTATTTAAACTTTGTGTCATTTATTTATTTTATTTGACATCAAGGTGTATGCTGTGCCTCCAAGCTTTCTTACTCGTTTTGCTAATAAACGTTCTACGTTTCTTATTTATTTGGTTATATATTATATATGTTTACTTAGCCTGTTTTGTATACCTATTTAAACTTTATGTAAGTTATTTGTTATTTCATATTAGGCATAGCCTGCCCTATAGCATGGTGTATTTTTATTTGTTTTGTTAATAAAAGTTCTATGTTTTATACACTGAACAAAATTATAAACGCAACACTTGTTTTTGCCCCCATTTTTGCATATAGGCTAAAGTGAGTTTGACGTCATATTTTGTTGTTGCATTCAAGCAATTGATGCCAAACTGCCGCTAATTCGAAAGTGAAAGTAAAATGTGCACAGCGCTTTTAAGATATTTAAAAGCGAGGAAAAGAGGGGAAATTCAAACAAACTAAAAACGAACAATTGCTTTACGCCGAATTGCCGCTATTTAAAAGTGAAAGTAAAATGTGCACAGCGCTTTTAAGATATTTAAAAGCGAGGAAAAGAGGGAACGCCCCCGCGGTGATACCGGTATTACCGGTGTTGTCACACGTCGATTAACCGGTGGGAAAATTTCCTCACCGTCACAACCCTAGTAAAAATGTATCCGATCATACATTTGTCAAAAACCTCATGATGTATAACGGTTGTTTATTTGCTTCTTGATGAAAATAAAGTATATTCAATCAAGAGTCAGTTGAACTAACAGTGTTGTCTGAATGCTTTACAGACAACAGGTCATTCTTTGTTCTCTCTATGTCTGATAATGGAGCCCAGATCTATGAACTAATGGCCCAGACCGTATCTGAGCAAAAGACGTGAGTGCTGCACTTTTTACCCATAGTTCCATTTTATCTGCTTTTAGAGTGTTCCTAAGTATCTGTTATTAAAAGAGAACAAAATTTACCTCAGTGTGTTTAGCCTCTAAAACAGAATTAACGGTGGATGAATGTTTATTTACCAGTTATATTTTAGTTATATATATTAGTGTTATATTTTGTTTATTTTTGTTTTTAAAATATTGTAGTATTTATAAATTTTTGTGTGTATTCCTATATAGCTTTCCTTTGTATTATTATTTTTTTTTATTAATTTTAGCATTTTAAACTATTTCAGTTAGTGGCCAAGACAACATTTCTAATTTAGGTTTAATTTCATCTAGTATTTAATTTTATTTTTTAATTGTAGCTTAATTATTGTAAATTTTAGGTTTTAGTTTAAAAAACACTGTTTACTACTTGCAATGTTTGTTTGATTTTCTACTCGATAGGTGGCAGTGTCTGATAACACAAAGAGCAGACTGCATGAAGACCAAACTACAGAACATCATTCCATTACCTCAGACTGAGTGAGTTTAAGGTTTCTATACCACAAAACCAGTCATAAGGGTAAAATTAAAAAAAAAAAAAGCTGAATAAATAAGCTTTCCATTGATGTAAGTTTTGTTAGGATAGGACAATATTTGGCCGAGATACAACTATTTGAAAATCTGGACTCTGAGGGTGCAAAAAAATCTAAATATTGAGAAAATCGCCTTTAAAGTTGTCCAAATGAAGTTCTTAGCAATGCATATTACTAATCAAAAATTAAGTTTTAATATATTTACAGCAGGAAATTTACAAAATATCTTGATGGAACATGACCTTTACTTAATATTCTAATGATTTTTGGCATAAAAGAAAAATCAATAATTTTGACCCATAAAATGTATTTTTGGCTATTGCTAAAAATATACCCCAGCGACTTAAGACTGGTTTTGTGGTCCTGGGTCACATATGAGAAGTGTTTTATAAGCAGTAAGGTGATGTAAAACATATGTTTTGCAGTGGGGAACGTGAAGCGGTCGAGTTGATGAACTCTGGTGTTCAGAAACTAAACAAAGACTCTGAGCCCATTTCTTTAGTGAGCATTCAGTCTCCAGGTAAACTGTTTCTTTCATTTATTTTTTGTGAGAGTAAATATAAAACTGAAACCATGATGATAGTCTGGCAATAAGGTAGAGTTTCAAATAGAGTAGTTGTTCAACTGGTATAGCATGGCACTGAAAACACATCCGGTGTCCATCCTCAAAAATATCTTTCAAAAAATGGTATGCCTCAGTTTTGCTGTGTATTTTCTGTAGAAAAAGATGGCACTGAGGTCATGCCAACCCCGCCATGTAGCACCAACCCATTCGAGACCAAATCTGATGAGGAGAAGGATGAAGAAGAAGAAAATTCACTACAGGATCAAGCTGAGGATGAGGAAGCGTTCGTGGTGGCCGATACGACCGATCGACTGACATTCCTGAAGCAGCGCTCGAGGCTGGGCATCGCCATAGACGAGGACGAGGCCTTTGAGCTCCAGCCACTCAGAGCCGATGAAGCTCTCAGAACACGTGAGTAGAAGACATGACTGTAGTCCTGCTATGAGCTGTCCCTCTGCTAATACACTGAAAAATTCATTCGGGCAGGGACATCTACTAAAATCCCACAATCTTGGATTCACTGTAACCCTCTTAGTCTGTCAACTTGTCGGCTAATTTTTTTTTTTTTTTAGTGGCAACACTGAGGCAGCTCCTGATCAACCACATGTCCAGTCAGGAGGACACAGACAGAGATAGCGAAAGACGAGAGCAACAGGAAGATGCAGCGAGGACGGGCTCTCAGCAGGGGTCAGAGGACAGCACTGCGATCAGCTCCACTGTTGAGAACGGCTCAGAGAGGGGCGAGAACAGAGGGGAGAACGCACAGGAACTGCCCTCCGGAGACACAGGCTTCTTTGAGACGTCTGAGGATTGTGGTGTGTTGTGGTGTTTTTTTTTAATTCATCAGGAAATGGAGGGGACTTCATTTTATGATAATGCCCGGCTGACTGCACATTATCCCACTTAATACTATGTTAAGACTGTTACAAATGAAGGGATTAGTTCACTTCCAGAATAAACTGATTTTAAATAATTTACAAAAATAATTTACTCACCTCCATGTCATCCAAGATGTTCATGTCTTTCTTATGTCGCAAAGAAATTCAGGTTTTTGAGGAAAACATTCCAGGATTTTTCTCCATATAATGGACTTCAATGAGACCCAACGGGCTGAAGGTCCAAATTGCAGTTTCAATGCAGCTTCAAATGGCTCTACACTAAATAAAAATGTATATACTTTTTAACCACAAATGCTCGACTTGCACTAGCTCGGCTTCACGCATTACATAGTCATGTTGGAAAGGTCACACGTGACGTAGGCTGAAGCACCGACCCAGTGTTCACAAAGCAAACGTGCAAAGATAGTCAAATGCCCTTTGCAAAAAAAGGTAAAACAACGATGTTGGACGATTTTGAAGTTGGAGGAGAAAATGAGATGGAGTTTTTCACCCTAGCCTAACTTTCTGAACCGGAGTACACAGATGAAGAACTAACCGTGTGTAACCTTTCCAACGTGATTACGTCATGCGTGAATTTGCGGACGAGCATCGCAAAGCTAGTGCAAGACGTGCATTTGTGGTTCAAAAAGTATATATTTATTTTGTCGTTTTTTTTAGAAAATTACCCATCGTTTCGATCAATAAGACCCCCTATTAGTCGGCTGGGATCGTGTAGAGTCCTTTGAAGCTGCATTGAAACTGCAGTTTGGACCTTCAGCCCATTGATCTCCATTGAAGTCCATGCCTAACTTTCTGAACCGGAGTACACAGATGAAGAACTAACCGTGTGTGACCTTTCCAACGTGATTACGTCATGCGTGAATTTGCGGACGAGCATCGCAAAGCTAGTGCAAGACGTGCATTTGTGGTTCAAAAAGTATATATTTATTTTGTTGTTTTTTTTAGAAAATTACCCATCGTTTCGATCAATAAGACCCCTATTCGTCGGCTGGGATCGTGTAGAGTCCTTTGAAGCTGCATTGAAACTGCAGTTTGGACCTTCAGCCCATTGATCTCCATTGAAGTCCATTATATGGAGAAAAAACCTGGAATGTTTGCCTCAAAAACCTTAATTTCTTTGCGACTGAAGACAGAAAGACATGAACATCTTGGATGACATGGGGGTGAGTAAATTAATAGGTAAATGGGCATGAAATATTGATTTGATAAGATGAAAAGAAAGGCCACAGAGTAAAACGAGAGACCTGAAAATGGCACAGCTGTGTAGGATATTGGTTGCCTGGGACAACCATCATGTAAGGTGTCATGGGCATGAAATATTGATTTGATAAGATGAAAAGAAAGGCCACAGAGAGACCTGAAAATGGCACAGCTGTGTAGGATATTGGTTGCCTGGGACAACCATCATGTAAGGTGTCAGTAGGTACTTCTTTTGAATTATTAAAGGGATCCTATTATGCTTTTTCACTTTTTCAACTTTAGTTAGTCTGTAATATTGCTGTTTGAGCATAAAAAAGATCTGCAAAGTTACAAAGCTCAAAGTCCACTTCAAAAGGAGATATTTTATTGAACAGAAATCACTTTTCAAAAACTACAACAAAACTTAGAGTGGTTACAATCATCCGGGTTTAAATCGCACCCAAATTAGTTTGATTTTGACGCAATATTTACTCTGAAGCTCGCAGGCGGCTATGGTAAGGGCGTGTCATTTCCCGACCAGGCGCCGAGTGCTGCCAATCACAACACACACTGGCCCAGCTAACCAATCACAACACATTTCGTATTTCAGAAGGTGGGCTTTCATTTGATACAGGAACTATTCAAGCCGTTCATGCCAGACTGAGGAGAGAGGTGTTGTAATAATGTAAAATATGTGAAAAATAATGTGTTTTTCGAACAACCTAGTATGAGAGCCTGTTCTAGTACACCCCCAAAACAAAATCAAGACTTTGTAAAAGAGCATTATAGGACCCCTTTAATTTCATAGTACAAATGTTTGTAGTATGAATGTAATCTGGACATGCAACATTTGTCTATTCGAGTCATGTGATTTACCAGCATCAGCTATCGCTTCACTGCCATTCACAAATTCTCTCCGGTGGCCTCATGGGATAGAAAAGTGTCCATTGCATGCACACTTTAGAGTCTCGCCAGTGGTAGTAGGTTATCCGGGTACTTTTTGCCCACTGTTGTATGAAGACTGTGAATTTAGAGATACTTCTCTTTACACATACCATAAAATAAGTGGTACCTGATTGTAAGTCGCACAGGGTCAAAATTGCATTGTTGAAAGAAAAAAACATAGATAAATTGCATCAGTGTGTAAGTCACATTTTATTATTACATTAAGAAGTAATGTAAAATACTGGTAAATAAAATGAAGAAACTGCGAAACAAACTGGCAGCATGTGGGAAGTGTGCTTTACAAATAATCTAGTGCTCATGTACCACAAATGTGTGCTTTTGTGCAGGTTTTGCATGCTGGACGTTAATTGCATTAAATAAGTTGCTTTGGAATGTCACAATACGTTTCAGATCATTTAAAAAATATATATTCTAGAAAATATGGCCTACTTTTGCCTACTTTATATTAGGGAAGTATGCGTATTTGGATGAAGCCTACTTTTACACTACATTTACACCTCAATCTAGCCGCATCCTGTAACCCTTCCTCTTGTTTTCTGTCAGTCTCAGCAGGCAGTTACATGGTTTTGGAGGTGTATGGCGGCTCAGGCGAGAGCAGCACAGATGATGACGTGCAGGGCAGCAGCGGGGAGCCAGTGGCTGGGGGAGACTCAGGCATTGACTTGAAGAAGCTCCTCTCTTCCTCCTCTCAGAGCAGCGGAGGACCAAACCTCAACAGACGGATCATGACACACATACGTCTACTACAGGCCAACCTGCAGCATCTGAAGGTGACGTTTGTCCCTAAAAAAATGGTCACAGATAGACAAATATACAATGACCAAAAAGTATTTGAAAGTATATAATGCATTAGTTTTGTTGAATTATATATCATGAATTATATTATACGATTCAGGGCTCGCAAAATTTCAAAATCGCTGGTAGCCCTTCGGGCAGACATTCTTCAGATTTTGGTAGTCCAAAATGAATTTAAGTAGCCCGAATAAAATAAAAAAAAAGACATCGGCTGAACTTCACTGCGGACAAATCAGCATGAATAAAAACTTCAGTGATTGCTTTTTTTCTTCAAATAACAAGTCAAGAGAGTAGGGGTGCAACGGATTTTAGCTTTGTGAATGAGACGCAAATGTCACTCTCTGACAGCAGGTGGCGCTTGTGGAACAGCAGGTGTTTATAGGCTGCTGCCCCTTTAAGAACGAACGCACGGATCCAATTTATTGATGCACTTGAGATTTCTTTCACCACTGTTTACGTTCACTTAAGACATAACCGACTGTTTATGAGAATACTTGCCGAGACAGTTATTTTGAGATAATTTTGTGTGTATGTGTTTATTCAGATGCAAGGATACACGAAAGAGGAATCAATTCTGTGTATGCGCATTGTCTGAAACGCGGCTCTCTGTGTGCGCGCAGCTCCGAATGCTTTATGGTTTAAAACACTTTGTGAATGCGAATGGTTTAAAACACTTGAATGTTTAAATCGGCAAGACTTAGAAACAGGTGCAAACTATTAACTATGATCCGTTTTACCCCTACAAGCTAGTGAACAATGCAAATCAAGTAAGGAATTTTATATCACTGTTCAAGATAGCCCGTCGGGCAGGGTGGTGAAACATTTTGGTAGCCCGACTGGAAAACACAATAGCCCCGGGACGTCGGGCTAGCGATTTTGCGAGCCCTGTGATTGTATTATATTACGTCAAAACTTAATGGCATATGCTACAAATGGTGCTGGACTGTTTCTCAGAAGTAACTTTTCCTATATTAATCTCTCATTGCGCTTGCTGCCTGTTTGGGTATTTGGAAAATGTGAAATATTTTAATATTCTAGTAATAGGAACAAAAAAATATTCTGTAGAAAAAAATATATGCTGTAATTACTGTAAATATTGTCCAGAAAATATTTTAATACTTTTGACTGTTAGAAGCCAAATAAAAGCCAATTGTTTATAACTTTTTATATAAAATCATCACATAGTATCATTATATCCCCAATATAAATATATCCCTTGCAAGGGCCCCCTTTCCTAAAATATAAATTAAATTAAAATTAGAATTAAAAGGTTTTAAAAAAAAAACAGATTTAATGCGAGGACATTCATACCTTTTTAAAGTGACTTTAGTGTCCAACTATCTTAAAAACAAAATTGCCTATTTGGTTCAAGTCCTTCATATCTGTTTACACACACACACAAAAACACTAATACTCAAATCTGTTTTGCAGGATACAGAAATCAAGTATAATCAGCTACGCCAAGGGCTATCAGAGGAAACAGCTACTGACACAGAGGAAAACAAAGGTACTGCCGTTTTAATTCTACCTTTTGTGGTTTGGTGTTGTGTTGCCCTAAAAGAGCTTTCATTCATAGTTCTCTTTCTCTTTTATCCTTCTCTCAGATAAAAGTTTAATGTCTGTTTATTGAGATGGAAGGAGACACAGAGACACTGGGCTGCTCCAGCCCTGCTCCTCCTCAAACAATGCTCATGCATGGACAGAGACAGACAGAATGGACAGGAGATCTGGAGTTTCTGTTCACGCTCACTGTACAGGACGACCCCAATCACTCACTCCAAATCTCTGTCCATCTGCACCTCAGCATGGTCATGGTACTTTGAGAAAGACTGCCATGTAAGGACGTTTCATCACCTCTCACTCCACCATCTGCATTCAGAAGACACAAAGCAGCAAACCTCCGTCACTATCAAACCCATGCGGTCCTGATCAACCAGGATGGATGGAAAAGAAAACCACGAGATTTGAGGGTAAACTTAAAGAGTGGATCTACAAAACTTCCCCAGGTTGCATGGCATTCCTTCATGAGGTTTGATGACTTTAGAGTCAATATTAACCAATGACAGTACAGCATGAGTGGTCACATGATCTTTACTAAAGTAGCTCCACAGATCTTTGACCTTATTAGCATAATAATGACGCGCAGTTAGAGCAGACAGATATTCACATAAACCGAATGCCTGACTTCCGTTTCGATACGGCGCGCTGTATATGTGATTTTACGATGTAGAAACCACGTTTGACAACAGTGGTGAGTGGGGTGAAAAACTTCTGATTGAAGTCCTGTACCGCTAGAGCATGTTGTTAGATGTGCGGAGAATATTAGCCATCACATGAGCCTAAAATGAGACGTCTCAATGAGGAACTGGCAATGTTTGCTGACTGATGAAGGCAAATACTAGTAAGGTGATGGGCTGATGATTGTGGTGGTGTCTCTCCTCATTCCTCCTCTCTTAATAAACCACATTATTCGCTATTTAATGAAGCTACTGAAAGCGTTTTCTCTGGCTTGTGGCCACGGGAAAAGCGGACCTTTCGTAATGTCGTCGGGTCGAGCTGATGCGACACGTCTCGGGCAGCTCGGCCCGATCCGTCTTTCGGATTTTCTTGGTTTTGAGAATGAAGTTAAATAGAAAGAAGCTTCTATGCAGGAACTTGATGAAGACCCTTAATGGTCCATTTTAAATGTAATGTATTGTACAATTATGACCAACACTGCATCTCTTACAGAGACACATTTTTTTTTGTTTCTTCTTTTGCGCTCTAAAGCGTTCAGTAATGTATTATTTTAACAGAAACTACTAAAAAAGACGAAAAATAAAAGACTGCAAGGTATCCTTTAATATTCATGTAATCTGTATTTTTATTATCCTGTCTAGACATTTGAGGTATTTTATTATATTATTGAACATTAATATGGTCTTGGCTTTCCGTTGAGAACATGAGATAGCTCTAATAGATGAGATTCTATTCAATTTGACTGAACTGATGTATTGTTCAAAATGGAAAGAAGATATTGCACATTATGTCTTCATTTTATCACATTTACCTTTTGAGGAGAGTGGGAAGAATATTTTGTTTTGGATTTATGACCAAAAAGGAAATTACACAACATCTGTAGCAAAATTGTATTAAATAAACTGGAAACACAAATGGTGATGTTCATTTCTTGTACAAATCCTTCATAACGATTGTTTTGGAAATACACAAGCTGGAACAAGAAATGTTCAAAACTGGTGTCAAATTGAAGCAAGTTTTTGCCTTTAAATAGTAGTTCTCAATATGAGAAAACCAATATGTACACCACCTTTCCCATACTGCCAGTATATTTGGGGCATCCATTTCATAACTCTCCATTACTGAGGTCTTTTTGCTGCGTTGTTGCTTTCCCATCATCTTCCCTCTTCCTCTTTCCCCTAGTTTTTGCCTCCTCTTCTCTGAACTGATGCCTGAAGGTGAAAAGAGTGTCAGTAAGAACAAGTACTGAATGAACCTGCTAGTGTGCAGTAGTTAGAGCTCACCTAGACTGCCAGCGCCTGCCACTATTCCACACACGTCCAAAAGATGGCAGCCAGTTGGCGTCAGTATGTGAGCCGTGGTCAAAGTTTGCACCCACGCGGTTGGGCGGAAGCTTCTTGAGCTTCTCTTGCTCTTCTGTAATTCAAGATTCTTTATTTGTAACATACAAATAAATGGGGAAGTCGTGGCCTAATGGTTAGAGAGTCGGACTCATAACCCAAAGGTTGTGGGTTCGAGTCTCGTACCGGCAGGGATTGTAGGTGGGGGGAGTGAATGTACAGCACTCTCTCCCACCTTCAATACCACGACTGAGGTGCCCTTGAGCAAGGCACCGAACCCCCAACTGCTCCCCGGGCGCCGCAGCATAAATGGCTGCCCACTGCTCCGGGTGTGTGTTCACGGTTTGTGTGTGTTCACTGCTGTGTGTGTGCACTTTGGATGGGTAAATGCAGAGCACTAATTCTGAGTATGGGTCACCATACTTGGCCACATGTCACATGTCACTTCACAGTTATTATACGCAATACAACTTGCAATGAACATCAACCTGGTTGACTACTTAAACTTGCTTTACATACATAAATAGTAAGATCAAAATGGTAAGAAACCTAAAAAGAAGATAATAGAAGGAACATGGTCGACAACTGTAGAAGACTGTTTAATGTACAAAGAAGTTTTAATATAAAATTATTAAAATATAAAGTTAATACTACTGTTTAAAATAAAAGTTGTCATCTTGAAAATGTTATTTCGTATTATTTCATATAGTATTACAATTTAAATTTATGGACAAAAATACAATGGAAGTCAATGGGAACTGAAACTGCTCGTTTACCAACTTTCTTTAAAATAACGTGTTCTTCTGAAGAAAGAGTCATACAGGTCTGGAACGATGTGAGGGTGAGACTGAGTAAATTATTGAATTTTCTTTTTGGGTGAATTATACCTTTAAGTTTTTAAAAAGCCAATAACAGAGTATCATTATGAGAGTGGAATACACACTGTGTTTGAGGAACTCCTGAAGTGAGGGGCCCATTTCCTGCTGTCCACTGCTTGAGGCTTCATCAGGCTCCTCAAGTAGCCACGGCGGTACAGCTCCTACAATTCAACACAACCTGCTCAGTATCTTCTCAAAGAATAAACGCAAACTAAATCTATTTTACTCACCGGTATGAACATTTCCACTGCTGGTTGAGTCCTGCAAATAGGAACAGCAAACCTAAATGATTCCTGACCTTGTTTATTAATCTAATAAATAATTGTTGCATGCATATATATATATATACAGTGGGTAAGGAAAGTATTCAGACCCCCTTAAATTTTTCACTCTTTGTTATATTGCAGCCATTTGCTAAAATCATTTAAGTAAATTTTTTTCCTCATTAATGTACACACAGCACCCCATATTGACAGAAAAAAACAGAATTGTTGACATTTTTGCAGATTTATTAAAAAAGAAAAACTGAAATATCACATGGTCCTAAGTATTCAGACCCTTTGCTGTGACACTCATATATTTAACTCAGGTGCTGTCCATTTCTTCTGATCATCCTTGAGATCGTTCTCTGGTAATGTAACGCGTTAATTAGATTGATTAATTACGGTGAAAAATAACGCATTAAAATTATTAACACATTTAACGCACTTGCCCCGCCCCAGACCTGGCTATGTGGGTCATCTGACATTTCATACAGTTGATTGATGACAAATATGAGGCAGGGCAACAACTCACTGAGTGATGGAGCCTAGAGAACGTAGTTAGAATGTCCCTAAAATTCAAGATATGGGGCAAAAATGCCCATTTGAGTTTTTATCTCATATTTACATTATATAGTTAAGCAATAGGCTAAGTGCAATATCACATGAGTGCAAATGTGATATTGATCTTATACAACAGTTCAGCAAGTAAGAAGTCAATATTGTTATTTTAGACACAATGTTGTCTGTTTTGCTCAATTTTGCCAACGAAAATATAATGTCAAAGCAGAACTGTTCGTCTCCGAGCAACACACAGCGGCATTTCATTTCTTAAAGGGGTCATATGATGCGATTTAAATTTTTCCTTTCTCTTTGGAGTGTAACAAGCTCTTGGTGCATAAAGAAGATCTGTAAAGTTGCAAAGACTAAAGTCTCAAATCCAAAGAGATATTCTTCATAAAAGTTAAGAGTCAGCCACGCCTAGCTAAAACGGCTCGTTCTAACACGCCCCCACATGTCCACGTCATGATGTGGGAAGATTTGCATAATGCCGCCCAAATGTTCACGCAAAGAAAGAAGGCGTAACTTTTATTCTCGCTGTAGTATTGTTGTTGCCGCTGCCATGTCGTGAAGACGCTGTGTGCTTCGTTGTGAAAGCGCAACTACTTTGTTTGGCCTTCCAAAAGAGGATGATATGGCTTCGTCATGCCTGGAGCTGATCCGTGCTGGTTGCTGAGGAAATACTACAACTTTGCGCTGTGGATCACCGGATCGGCTTTCACCGTGGATGAAGCGGAGTCCAGCCCGGAGTTGTTACATGTCCTTCCGGACGCTCCTTCGTCAAAATCACCGGCCGCTCCATTCTCAAGCCCACTGCTTCTCTGCTCACTCTAACCCTCCAGACGTTCCTCACTCTAGCCCCCGGCCTCTGCTCACTGTAGGCAGCCATGTGTGACACTAGGCGCATTTCCATTACAGATTTGCACAAAACTTTGGTGATATTTTCTGAATGTCGATAAAAAAGTATTGCGAAATGACGGCGTTTCCATTAACCAATGTTATGCGTCTAAAACGTAAACTTTTGCCTCTCGCGATAAGTCATTTTTGGCTATATTTATTCAAAGGAGGCTTATGCATGTATATTTACAGAAGCAGCAAAGAGAGCCGCTTCAGAAACGTGCGTGGCGTGGCTGGAATAAACCATAGACTGTATAAAAACATTAACACAAGAATTGAGTGGCCGTAATCAGCTTCAGTGACACCGCAGACGTGTGCAGTGTAAATTGTCTAAGTATTAATAGTAGGGAAAGCCCCTTATACTGGAGCACGGCCACTTATTAAGTGTTTCTTGGAGGTTATAGTACATTGAAGAATGATCATATGACTTTTTACATACGCCATGTGACCTGTAAATGCGAAAAAGTTAAGTTGTATTTACAACACTGTTCCAGAACACTTCAACCCAAATATTCAGATGTGTGCAGCACATTTTATGGAGGACTGTTTCCTGATCCTGGTAGAGTAGACTACAATGCCGGCTGTTCTGACTCACAGACTGTGTTTTTTGTTTGTTTTTTTAAAGAGTTTTTATATTTTATACATTTAAAGCAAGTTTTTTGAGCAGTGTAGAGTAGCATTTGTCGTTTGTCATTTCTCTGATCACAAATGCAGACATGGTTTTATGTTTACGCGGCGCGATGCAACGCAACGCGTAAAAAGACAGTATAAGTCATTATAATCCATAATTATGTCCCCACTGGATGCAACGAATGCCTCGTTTATAATGGGTTTTTTTGAATCATCGCTCCGGCCTGACGGTATCATCACAGTATGGTAAGGGGCGTAACATTTCCATCTCACGCTTGAGGTATTCGGCCAATCACACCTCGCTTTTCAGATTGATGAGCTTTGTAAAAATTGACACGTTTCAGAAAGGCGGGGCATAGAGGAGAAACAATGTACAGTATGTGGAAAATGTGTTTTTTGAACCTTAAACCACATAAACACATTTCATTACACCAAACACACAAAATAATGTTCTTTTTAGCAGCATCATATGACCCCTTTAATGCACGTTTTGAACGAATTGGGTGAACCATTTGGCACGCTGGATTTGAAGCGGCACTGCACAGATCGATAGGTGTATGACATCAAAGTACCGCGAGAGCGATTCAAAAGCATGCAGAGTCGTCTCTTGCGGTACTTTGTCACACACCGATCGGTCTGATGGTGATGATCCGCTTCAAGTCGAACAAGCCTTATGATTCAATGGCCCATTCATAAAGAACCATTTACTTCACTCCTGAATGAATCAGCCATGTGAACGAATCAAATGAATGAATAAATGACTCGATGACTTAATCATTGACATTTACCACCACCTACTGGCAGTTTTAGTTTATTATCCTTAAAGAAACAATTTCATTTCCATAGTAATAATAATAACATAAAAAAAAAAAATTATTAAAGGTATAGTTCACCCACCCAGAAATGACAATTGTGTCATCATTTACTCACCCTCATGGTCCAAAAGAGTATATGTAATAAATTTTATCAAACTAAATATTTCTTGCTGAAGTTACTTTTTGTAATGTCTGTTTGATGCTTTACACAACAATGACTTTAAATTATCTTTTGGGAGTAATTTCTCAGCCAAATGTGATGTGCGATTAATTAATCGCCACATTATGTAATTAATTAGATAAAAAATTGTAATCGCTTACCAGCCCTAATATATATATATATATATATAAACAGTGTAAGAAAGATTACCTGGTAACCAATGAAAGTTAAACCGAGTTCTGGTTCATTCCACTGACTGTGTGAGGCGAAATCCTCGTGGCTCGGTCCGGGTTGTGCCTCTGCTTCATAAGAGCAACTGTGGGAACTTCTTATGAAACATCAAAACTCATTAGAAGCTCTTACGTTTCAGATTACATGAAGAAAAACTCATTCTGATCATACTGCGATAATAAAGAAGCACTTAATCATATATAATTTCTGTTTATCAGTACTGGAACCAGCATATTATGAAAACCTTGACTGCTATTAGCGCAAGTAAAATATCTGGACACAACTATTCATTTATTATTATCCATATTTTAGTCATCAAAACTACAAAATAAAAAACATTTGATGAGTATTGGTGCAACAGTTTTAAGATAACATCATAATTTTTGCATGTATTTTACCTGGCTGCATGTTTACTGCTGTGCTGGTCCACTTCAGCAGGTTGTACCAGTTCTGGATCAGGCTAAGTTTGATTCAGGAAAGTCAACAGTAATGCTCCATGTCTTTTTAACATCATTTTCCCAGCAAAGGAATTACTTTGATAATAAACACATGCCCTTTTAAAAAAAGGCTAATTAGCAACAGAGTTTAAAAAAAGTCACAAATAACATTTCCTATGATTTTTTTTCTGAGTACTGAGATATGGATACGCTTGGAGCATCCCAGGAAAACAAACCTCTGATAATGACTGAAGGACCTCCAGTCTGTGCTGCTCCTGGGATCGGATCACTGCAGCTTGCTGAGGATGAAAGAAGAGAAGAAATGTTCAGATATGGTCAAACCAACAATGTAACTACCTGTAAAATGTCTTTACCTGTTTAATAAGCACATCCTCTTTTTCCTCAAACTGTTCCAGAGCCTTGGAAACCTCAGCCTTGAATCTACAAAAAAAAAAAAGACATTTTTAATTTCTTTCTCCGTAGAACATCTGCAAACTTTTACAGTGATGTTATCAGTGTACTAATGTACTACAGAAATGCTATTATAAGCACACCCATGTCCCCAAACACAAATAAGCAAGCAATAACCTCTCCGTTTCCTCTTCTGTTATGATAAACTTGTCTCGCAGTTTGGGCTCTGCTTTATTGTCCCACCAGAACTTGTGCGTGTTTTTCCGGTGCTCTGGGCTGAAATGAAAAGCACTGAGTGAATTCCCTGCAAACTCCGCATGTGTTTCTCACAGCTTCTGATGTGTGATCTTACGTGCTCATGTGCTCCAGCAGTCCTCCGTACAGCACACTGATGTTACTGTCAGTCACGTGTTTCTGCACCTCCAGCGCACAGCAGTAACACCAGAACTTCTCCTCATGATGGGGACTGTATTTCTCCACCTGAGGATTTTTAATGGTCCGCCGTGCTTCTTTGACCTGTTACAACATGCAGAAATGTTATTACACATGCAGACGCAGAGCAACAAATACATTACTGTTCATGGCACCAAACAGTATATTTCGACACTCAAATCACACTTAATGTCAATGTGTATACAGTATATATAAATGACATTTTGTGGTTCTCAACCATCAGCTGACATAGTTCATAGATAGTTTGAACTTATACCTGAACTGACTTAATATAGCCACTAAATTTAACCTTTATTTAACCAGGAAAAACCTGTCTGAGATTTAAAAAATCTCTTACAGGAGTGTCCTGGCCTAAATAAGCATCTTAATGTGACTTTTATACACAAAACCTATACAAACAAAAAAACATGCGACATTAAAACATTTGCAGGTCACTGACTCATCCTCCAATTCTCACTTTGACACCACTTGATTAAAAGGAACTGCGTAAAATGCTTACTTTATTTCAAGTTTTATTATTTTATGCGTAAACCGATAAAGTGCAATCATTATGTGTGCCCAAATCGTATTTGGAGCCACTGTGGCAGCATCTTCAGCTAGTTGTCTTGTTAGCACGCTTACCTTTTCCGTGAATTTGACTAGAATTACTTTAAGTTTGCTCTGGTGGCTTTTCCCATAAATGTGGCCTTTTCCAGAAAAATCTGTTTTTCTGCAGACAGAGCAATAAAACGCGCCCATTTGGCTGTTTTTGGGTTTGTTTCTTTAGCGAATGCAAGCGCGATGTTGTCCAAACATAGTGCCGTTTTGTGATTTCAAATATGCAGAAGCGCCCTCGTGTGGTTGGGATGAACTCCCACACACCACAAAAATATTAAGCATGATTGATTTCTGAAGGATCATTTGACACTGGAGACTGGTGTAATGATGCTAAAAATTCAGCTTTGTCAACACAGGAATAAATTACATTTTAGGATATATTAAAATAGAAAAAAGGGTCTCCTCCCAGACCTGGATCAGGGCATCCGTGAGATCCCAGACAGTCTGTGGCTTCAGATGCTCCGGTACGTAATGTCCCAGAGGTTCTCATTCAGGTCTGGGGAACGTGAGGGCCAGTCTACGGCATCAATACCTTTGTCATCTAAAAACTGCCTACACACTCTAGCCACATGAGGCTGGGCATTATTGCGCACCAGGAGGAACCCAGTGCCCACTGCACCAGCATAAGATCTGACAGCGGCTCTGAGGATTTCATCCCGGTACCTAACAGCAGTAAGGGAACCAGTGCCTAGCACATGGAGGTCTGTGTGACACTCCAAGGATATTCCTCCCCAGACCATTACAGACCCACTGCCAAACCGGTCATGCTGGATGATGTTGCACACAGCATAACATTCCCCACGGCATCTCCAGACTCTTTCACTTCTGTCACATGTGCTCAGTGTGAACCTGCTCTCATCCGTGAAGAGAACAGGGCACCGATGTTGGATTTGCCAATTCTGGTGCTCTCTGGCTAATGCCAATCGAGCTGCATGGTGTGGAGCTGTGAGCCCAGGTCCCACTAGAGGACGTCAGGCCTTCACGCCACCCTCATGAAGTCTGTTTCTGACAGTTCGGTCAGAAATATTCACCCCAGTAGCCTGCTGGAGGTCATTTGGTAGGGCTCTGGCCTCCTCGCACAAAGGAGCAAATACCGCACCTGCTGCTGGCCTGTTGCCCTTCCATGTCCCAGTCCAGCTCTCCTCATGTAACGGCCTGTCTCCTGGTATCTCCTCCATGCTCTTGAAACAGTGCTTGGAGACACAAAACCTCCTTACGATGGATGTGTCATCCTGGAGGAGCTGGACTACCTTATTGGGTTGCAGGTAGGGCTGCACGATAAATCGCATGCGATATTTAACGCGCATCTAGTCAGAAAGCCGGTTCTGTAATCAGCGGTAAATCTCCATCACCTGCGGGCTTTCACATTGAGCAGCATTGACTACACAGAGCTGTTGTTCACTGACAAGCTGCGCAAAACCACATTCATATTTGCACGATTTTTGGCGCAGCTCGTCAGTGAACAAGTTGCAGGTACTGCCTCGTGCTACAGACAGGGACAAGGGCCCTAACAAAACTAAAAACAATTGTCTTTGACCACCAGGGAGGTTTGGAGGTTGTCTTGCTGTTGCCTCTCCAGTGCACCTGTTGTCACTTTAATTTGAACCAAAACAGGTGAAACTGATTCACAATCACTTATGCTTACTATAATTGGACAGACTGACATCCCTGAAGTTTAAGTGTGTGTGTGTGTGTGTGTGTGTGTGTGTGTGTGTGTGTGTGTGTGTGTGTGTGTGTGTGTGTGTCTGTGTGTGTGTCTGTCTGTCTGTCTGTCTGCTGCTCATCTTAGGAACCACACTCAGTCTTGGGTTTTGATGCCACCAGGAGATACACTTTACTACATCATCAATGATAATAAATAATAAAGCGGAGATGCTCTCTGCAGCAAAACATCTCCAGAATGATCATCTTGTCTTCTTTTTATACAGTTCTGACTTTAAGGCATGGGGTATATATTCCATACAGCTTTTCCATACATAGAATGGTTCCTTTGTGCATAGTTCTGACTTTAAGGTGTTTTCCATACATAGAATGGTTCCTTTGTGCATACAGTTCAATATTTCCCTAGAGAAGGGGTTCTTGTTATGGTAAAGAAAGAAGGCCCCAACTTATGTTTCCCAGATGTTTCTAATCTTACCACGTAGGCATTTTCCACACAGGCATATGTGATTATAATGGAAGAATAACTGGATATTTAAATGGTTATATTCATAATGATAACACTCGAACAATTCATACTTTGATTAATAAAAATCTTCAACATTTGTCTGTCTGTCTCTGTGTGTGTGTGTGTGTGTGTGTGTGTCTGTCTCTGTCTGTCTCTGTGTGTGTCTCTGTGTGTCTCTCTGTCTGTCTGTGTCTCTGTGTGTCTCTGTCTGTCTGTCTGTGTGTGTGTGTGTCTCTGTCTGTCTGTCGGTCTGTGTCTCTGTCTGTCTGTCTGTCTGTGTGTGTGTCTCTGTCTGTGTCTGTGTGTGTGTGTGTCTCTGTGTGTGTCTGTCTCTGTGTTTGTGTCTCTATGTCTATCTGTCTGTCTCTCTCTGTGTCATTATTCTTATTATATAGATTTTTAAGGCATTCCTTTAACTAACAGCCACTTTAAAGAAACTAAAATAGCATGTTAATGCATTTGTTTATTTTAGGCATAATGTGTCATTGGATTTAAAAAAAAAAGACAGACACACAAAAAGAAAGATTACAACATAATAATAGTAATAACAAATAGTGCTAACATTCAAAAGTTCATAAAGATAAATTAGACAGCAAGTCCAGTCTGATGTCATTTGCTTGTGCTCAAAGCTGGATTACAGCTCTAACAGCGCTTGAATCATATCTGTAACATGGACACAAATGAGAGTGAAATCAGTTCAAACTCATTTTGCTGTTTACCTCACCACTCAGTCCCTTTAAGATCCAAGTCCTCACCTGGATAGTTCATGCTCCTTTTCAGCATTCTGAAAGAATCTCCCGCGAGTGTATTAATCTCATCTCTCAGTCTCTGTCGGCCATCCAGGGTGAGACGCCACAGACAGGACTTCCTCTTGCCATCTCCAGACACCTGCTGCGGGGTCTTCTTAAAACTGTTGCTGAAACATAGATTATGGCGGATTGTGTTTTTCCACCCATCTGGAGCTGTAAGGAAAAAGGGGAAGTGCTCTCTAGAAAGACAAAAGAAAATGGGATGAGAAACAAGTTTCATAATTTGGGATTTGTGTGTGTGTGTGGGGGGAGTGTGAGAGTGAGTGTGTGTGAGAGAGAGACAGAAAGAATGAGTGAAGCCATGCTGGGGGAAAACATGAATAAATGAATAATTCAGCCTACACACACTCTCAAAAATAAAGGTTCTTTATGGGCAGCTTTGGTCCATTAGGAACCTTTAACATCCATGTAATCTTTCCATTGCACAAACGGTTCTTTATCGTGGGAAGATGAAAAAAAGGGGCGGAAAATGGTTCTTTTAGGAACTGTTCACTAAAAGGTTCTTTGCAGATCCAAAAATGGTTGAAATGTTACCGTGACATCACTGCAAAATCAACTTTTTGGAACCTTTATTTTTAAGAGTGTACCATCAGAGTTTGTTCTTATCCTTAAGTATATAAAAGAGACCTGGTGAAGTTATAGATCTGCTGTACGTTGAGGCTGCTGCTGAGCGCCATGGCAATGAGGATGCAGTAGTTAACAGGAGGCCGAGGCCATCCGCCGCTCTTCAGGTTGATACTGTCCTGCAGGGCTCTCTGAAGCCTTCTGTTCCGCGTCAGACCCAGTTTGCGAGTAGATGCTTTGGGTGTCCTCCCCTTGCGCACACCCTTTACCTTACGACAAACAGGCACATCTACAGAGGAAGCGTCCTCTTCATTTGTGAACTGGGGTAAGGTGGAGATAGGTCAACTACATTAGATATCATCTTATTATAATAATAATCTTTCACCCAATTTAATTTTTTATATACGTGACATTCTCTTGACATAAATCTCTCAGGTTTGCATGACATAATTGCAAAGTGGCAAACAATCAAAGTATGCAATGCTGCTTTACTCATACCTGATACTCACTGGAGAGGGAGGTTTCGTGCACTGACTCAATCAGGCAGGTCTCATCAGGCAGTATCGCTGGGCGCAAACTCTTTTCCAGAACAGGTGTGGTGGTTCCTGGCAGCACTGACTGCAGTGTCTGTTTTGGGGGTGTTGGGGCTCTGGGGTAATTACTAGGGTACTTTATGGGGCAGGCTAAACTGGGATTCACCATCAGCCACAGATTAGGTTGTATGTCAGGCTCTTTAAAAAGACAGAAACAATTAAGTTTGAAGTGCACAGTGACAAGAATGTAAGAAACTGTTAAAAGTTGTTGTTCTTAAATCTTAAAGGAACATGCACAAGATTCCTATCAGAATCTTTTATAATTGGGAACCAATCAGAAAGGACCCTCAAATAAGAATTCTCAGATAATAAAAGTATACAATTTTTCTGGATACATTGTGTACTATTTAGCAGTAATCCTACATTTAAAGGAATAATCACACAAGAAACTATTTACCTTATTTTGCAATGCGGAAGTAAGCCAGTGTGCGAGACAAAAGTGCAGTAAATCGTAAAAATATTAGTAACACTTTACATTAATGTTCATTATTTAACAACTTTAGTTAACATGAACAAAACTTCTACAGCACTTATTAATCTTGGTTAATGTTAATTTCAAGAAACTATTTACCTTATTTTGCAATGCGGAAGTAAGCCAGTGTGCGAGACAAAAGTGCAGTAAATCGTAAAAATATTAGTAACACTTTACATTAATGTTCATTATTTAACAACTTTAGTTAACATGAACAAAACTTCTACAGCACTTATTAATCTTGGTTAATGTTAATTTCAACATTTATTAATGCATTATTAAAATCAAAAGTTGTGCTTGTTAACATTAATGCACTGTGAATTAACATGACCGACTGTATTTTCATTAACATTAACAAAGATTAATAAATACTGTAATAAATGTACTGTTCATGGTTCGTTCACGTTCATATATTAACTAATGGAACCTTATTGTGAAGTGTTACCAAAATATTTGTCAGTCGGTTTATAAATATGATGATGCATGTCAAGCATAATAAATGACCAACTCAACTTACAAATGGCCGAAACCACCATAATGTTAAAAATAAAAAGGATACGAGTCATCTATAAATGAAAAAATAATTAATTTGTATACACGTAAATTATCCAACATTTTCAGAAATATGTATTTTTTTATTTCTCATAAATATTTTTTTTTTAACATTTTTAATAAATGTATTTATTTTTCAAAACTAACGTTTATTTTAGTTTTTTTTTATCATTATTCAACTAGCCCAAATAAATGTATATATGTAGGCTATATGCATGTATGTCTTTGTTTGCTTGGGGGTCTCTGACAGTAAAAACAGTGAACACCTCTCATCTAAGGAGGTTTGTGTTGTTGTGTGTTGTCAGGAGGAGGCTGTAGAGTCGATGAACACACCTCTGTTGCTGAGGGGCAGCTGGTAGCTCCTCTGTGCTGCTGCTGCGGCTAGTAATGATCTTCTGGAGATTCTTGCGTAGTGCCACTGCGCCAGATACTGGTCAGTTCACTTATCATCTGCCAAACAGTGTTGCCAATTTGGGGATTTTGTTGCCAAATATAGCTACTTTCTCATTGTAGCTGCGACTTTTTTTTATTTTTTGTGACAAGGAGCTATTTTAGCTTTATTTAAATAAAACTAGCGATTTTTTGGCGATTTTTTATTTTTTACTTGGCCACACCCATGCCGTAGGCCCGTGACCTCTCACGTTTGCTCTCAATCATGCCAAAGAGTCTGTGCAGTGAACACACCAGTACGCCACGCCTGCCATGACGCACACCACAATTTCACTATAAGCATCAATTAAGATGCAGGAGAGGGGACGCGCAAGATGGCGCCGTGAGCACAGGTGTTGAGTTATAGCGCCCATCAACAAAGTTAAATCTGAGCAATGACATTTCTTTATCAATTTACGTTTTAACTGGATGCTTAGTGCTACTCGTGCACCATAGTTTGTTCTGAAACATGTCAGCTGATAAGAAAAGAAAGAATTCTGCTACGAAGAAGAAAAAATCAAAAGTTGTGCTTGTTAACATTAATGCACTGTGAATTAACATGACCGACTGTATTTTCATTAACATTAACAAAGATTAATAAATACTGTAATAAATGTACTGTTCATGGTTCGTTCACGTTCATATATTAACTAATGGAACCTTATTGTGAAGTGTTACCAAAATATTTGTCAGTCGGTTTATAAATATGATGATGCATGTCAAGCATAATAAATGACCAACTCAACTTACAAATGGCCGAAACCACCATAATGTTAAAAATAAAAAGGATACGAGTCATCTATAAATGAAAAAATAATTAATTTGTATACACGTAAATTATCCAACATTTTCAGAAATATGTATTTTTTTATTTCTCATAAATATTTTTTTTTTTAACATTTTTAATAAATGTATTTATTTTTCAAAACTAACGTTTATTTTAGTTTTTTTTTATCATTATTCAACTAGCCCAAATAAATGTATATATGTAGGCTATATGCATGTATGTCTTTGTTTGCTTGGGGGTCTCTGACAGTAAAAACAGTGAACACCTCTCATCTAAGGAGGTTTGTGTTGTTGTGTGTTGTCAGGAGGAGGCTGTAGAGTCGATGAACACACCTCTGTTGCTGAGGGGCAGCTGGTAGCTCCTCTGTGCTGCTGCTGCGGCTAGTAATGATCTTCTGGAGATTCTTGCGTAGTGCCACTGCGCCAGATACTGGTCAGTTCACTTATCATCTGCCAAACAGTGTTGCCAATTTGGGGATTTTGTTGCCAAATATAGCTACTTTCTCATTGTAGCTGCGACTTTTTTTTATTTTTTGTGACAAGGAGCTATTTTAGCTTTATTTAAATAAAACTAGCGATTTTTTGGCGATTTTTTATTTTTTACTTGGCCACACCCATGCCGTAGGCCCGTGACCTCTCACGTTTGCTCTCAATCATGCCAAAGAGTCTGTGCAGTGAACACACCAGTACGCCACGCCTGCCATGACGCACACCACAATTTCATTATAAGCATCAATCAAGATGCCGGAGAAAAAAAATTAACATCTTGTTTTTAACCACAGACACAAAAGTTATACCACAATTCATGCACAGTCATGTCAACCAGATACTGAGAGAGAGAGACACAGTGCATCGTCGTGTCATGTGTGCTGGGATGCAGTATTTTGCACTTACTTTGTAGTAATAGAGTGTTGACTGAAATAAGTTTGTATGAATAAAGTTTTTGTTTTTGGAGAATCATAATATCTCTTATCTGTTGTATTTGAGCAGGACAGGGATGCACTTTGGTGACACATAAAACAAATTCCCAACATTGTGTCTTTCCATCATTT